AATCCTCCGCAAAAATATTGTATTGAAAGCAGCGTCAGGCGAGAGTCCAGGCTGGAAAAGGGAGAGAGGGAAAGAGAGCGAAGGCTTGGGCCAGACCCTAAGCACACACGGGACCCACCACCACACAGGGAGCGTGGCAAGAGAGGGACAGAGAGCGTGAGGGAGAAGTCGTCCGCTGACTGTTGTCGTTTGTGGGGCCCACATTGCGTATACGTAATTTGCAGAGACTGTTGCCAAAGTGGCATTTGAATTTATGCCGCCACTTGAGGCAAGTGTAAGTGTGGCACGATGTGGGTGTACGTGTAATTGTGTGTGTGTGTGTGTGTGTGTGTGTGCTGCCAGCTTGTGGGCTGTGGGGCAAGGAGTGCGCTTTATTTTATTTTAAATTAAATATGCAAATATTCTTCAAGTTTTGGTTCTCCGTCCTTGTTGTGCCTCGCTTTGCTTTCTGCCACTTGTTCTCCACATTTTTCCTGCTCTTGTTGAGGATTTCCTGCTGCAGACAGGAAAACATAAATTATTGCAAGCAGATGAAATATTTGTGGATGAATTTGTTACAAGCTGCCTGGCAAGTGCAGTCGTCGGAGGCTATTGTTTGCTGCAAAATATTGCTCAGGCGGAAAAATGGGCAGCCAGTCGGACAGAGAGCAGAGGGCAGAGGGCAGAGCCGTGTGCAAAGTTAGACGAAGAAAATATGAAATAAATGAGTGGAAAATAGGGGAAATTAAAGGAAAGCAAAAAAAATTAAAGATTGAGTTGGAGCATATTTTTGGTAGATTTAATTCTTCATCTGAGACGTGCCAACGGAGACTCCTTCTACCCTCTCCAACTAAAGGGTATCCGAAACTAAGAAAAACCCAAGAGAGACAGGCAGAGACTTATATGAAAAAGATATAGAAAGAGACAGGATGTCCTCGGGTGGAAAAACGAATGCTGGCAATTTTATCATTTTTCACTTTGGTAAACAAACACAAAAGAAGGAAATCCAAGGGGGTACACAGAGGGGTGGAGCTGCTGTGAAAACAGAGGTTTTTGGGTTGGGGGTAGACAGACATGAAGGAAATGTTGCGGCCATTGTTGTGGGGCCAACCTTAATCGCTTGCAACCTACACCGCTGCCACATCAGACACCGCTCCTCCCCTGCCTTCTGCACCATTCCTCATTCTACAACTAAACCCCTGAGCCCCCTTTCCTCGGGCAGCATGCCACAACGATCGAATGTCATTCAAATTGTAATTTTTGTTGCCTCTTTTTGCCCTGCAACATCATGTTTGCTCGAGAACAATCGATGGAAAAGGATAAAATGGAAAAGCAGCACAACAATGTGCCAGGATAACAATGGTTGGAAAAGCGCACACAAAAGAGATGCTAGAGGGAGATAGAGGGACGGCAGAGAACGACAGTGAGAGTGAGAGAGCAGACAGTTAAACGCAAACAATAAACAGCGAAATCATTCTGTTGCCCCGCGTTCTTTGGATACTTGCACTCTGTATGTGCATATGTATGTTTGTATCAGTATACAGTGCGTTTCGGCAATGTACAGCAGTTGTTTTGGTATGAAAAAAGCACAAAGAAAACCTTGTTTGGGGGAGTAAAACTTCCATTGAATTCTGATTTCGATTCAAGAGACAGAAGGAAGAAGTTTTAATCAAGAAGTTTCTTTTTCGACTATTTCAAATCATTTTCCTCGAAAAAATCTCTTGTTTTGTATGCCAATTATGCGATGTAAATCGAATCAGCTATAGACGAAATGCATTGGGGGAATTCGCTTGCGAGGACGATCGACTTTGAGTGCATAAACGCGCAGCAGTAAGACTCAGATACACAGACACCTGCCTGTGGTAACCTAATCTATGGCAGACTTTAATCAGAAGCTCTAACCCGAACGTTGTGTGACTTACAACCCACTGTGGGAGTATTTCCGGCCTAAGCAGCCCTTGACTAATAGGCCAACTTTTGTGCTCGTTTTGCAAACATTTGCCCAGCACTTTGGGCCTTTGGCTTTGGCTTGGGCTGCTCTGCCATTCGGGCTAATGAGCGAACAAAGAGAAAACCCCGCAGAGCCAACAGCAAGGAAAATATATGGGAGCTTCCATCAGACTCGGAGCAAGTGCGAAATGACTTTGATCTTCTACAATATGGAAGTGGCTTGGGCACCCGAACAAGTAGAGAAGCAAATCATTATAAATGGTGCAATGGGTAAGTCTTGGGCACTAGAGGAGATCTGTCTAAAGAAAGAAATGGGTGTGGAAGTTGCATGGATTATATATTCATAATTGCTGGCTCTCGTAATCCATTCATAAATATTTTCATATTTATTTTGAAGAATTCTGCTCTGCCTTTTTGACTTCTTTGTGGGCTCCATTCTGACATGGCCTCTGGTTGTGACGGAGTCAGTCGACCATAATCGCAGTCGTATTTACCTGCCTGCTGGCCCACACTTTTTCTGCATCAGCTGTCAAAAGTCGGCCTCATCATTCATTACCTCTGCGCCCACAATGCCAACAATAATCCCCCGCGCCGGTATTCCACCAATCCACCAATCCACCAATCAGCCCACACAGAAGCGCTCACTTGACATTTATCATGATGATGATGATGATGATGATCATCAGCAGGCCCATTCCTCATTTACCTCGTCATCATCCTTGCACGTCGCGCTCTAACCTTCAAAAGGCATTTTCATTAAGCGGCTTCCACTCTCTTTCTGACTTGTTCCTGCCTTTCCCTCTCTGGTTACCCTTCCTCTTTGTTGACTGCCACTTTTGTGACTTTTCCCCCCTGTTTTTGCAGCCATTTTCCTTTTGCTGTGTGCTCTCTTTAACCCTTAATTAAAAACGATTAGCAATTCCTGTTCAGACATGAGCCCAGAGGTCGTTCGGGTGCAGTGGCGCCATTAAATATGCAATGGAAATACTTTAATTATACAAATAACAAGGGACTATAAACAGACAGGGACAGGCACAGGGACAGCTGCAAAGGCCACATAAAAAGTGACTTCTCATTGCTGGCACTTTGGACATTTTTCAGGCATTTTTCTGGTCCACAAATACGTATACGAATCGCTTTGGCCAAATCAAACGGAAGTTGTTCGTTTCGCGCCAAATATGCACAAAGTTTTGGGGTGGAGGCTATAACAGGGCTTTGGATGGGGCTAAAGTGCTATGTGGCGCTAGAAATAGGTAGGAAATTGGTAACGAAATGAATTCGTTCTCGAATGCCGTGCACGCAAACGTATTTGTTGCCCACCTTCACATTTCAGCTCCACCAACTAAACCATCATCGACCTGCACAGCGCCCTGAACATTCCCTTATTTGTACTTTCTCTTTTTTTAGTTTACTTTATCCCCCCACATAGCCTCTGCCAAAACCACAATTAGTTTTGGGGTTCTGGTTGGCTGGCACGTTACTCGTTTTGTGGCTTGTTTTTTTTTTTGGTTCTAGTTGGTTGTTGCGGTGCCAGCCCAGAGCCCTGTTGAGTTTTTCTAGCTTAGCTGGATTTCCTTGGCTCTAAGCGCAGAGGGAGCTCAGGGAGTGACATCTGGGATCGGGTATCACTGCTCTGCCGGATGTTTGTACTGTAGAGAAAACTTGTGTGTGGCATTTTTCATTGTGCTAATCTGGTGTTGATACAGCTAGGATTTTGGCCTGGAATTTAGTTGTACTAACATTGATTCCACTTTCGTATGATTACTTTGCTAGTTATTTCCCTGGATTTTGTCCCTTTTTACTGGTATATATTTGGCTGCTATTAATCCTGAATGTGCCTTTGCTGAGGTATTTTCTTTATGCAGCAGATTTTCTGTATTTGATCTGTGAGTTTTCTTTTGAGGTTTGACTTGTGTTATTGGAAAAGCTATTAGAAACCCCGAATATCCCTAACTATAGCTGGAGGTTTTCCCAGTTTGCAATTAAATATCCCCTCCGTGAATAAATTAGCTGTTTTTCCTTTCGTTCCTTTCAATTTGTTTGCTCCTGGAAATTGCTTAGTGTTTTTTTTATGGAAGCAACTTCAGCAAGGAAAGTCATCATATTTCCCATTCGCTTGTCAAGCAGCCAATCTTGCTGCCTCGTTCTATGTTGCTTGCTGTTTCTTTCTGTCTCTATTTCTTCATTTCTCACTCTCTCCCTCATTCTCGAATTGCTGTTGGAGTCGCTGCTGCTTGTCCTTAAAATAGCTACAGAAATACAATAATGGCAAATGAAAGTTTTTGCCTGCAGCAACAGTGGGACAGAGGGAGGGAGAGTGAGTTCCTCCACTTTTAGTTCTGGGAGCCTTAAGCCTTTAAGGCACAGGGACTGGTGTTACACTTAACGAACGGGGATGGGCATATTTTTGTATTCTTCAGAAAAGGTTTTTCCATATCCACATCAAGATCAATATTCGAGAAGTTTTTGTTGAAATATTATGATGCTCCCTGAACAGAACATTGTTGTATATTTTCCCATGTTTTTTCTCGCAGTGTAGCGTAGGAAAGTACTTAACTTATTCATCTGATGTCAGCGCGCGATAAGCGACACAACGACCCATTCTTTTTGCCATTCTTTCTTTTGGATTATTTCACTTTTGCCTATTTCTGAGTGGCCACCCGTTGTCTTGTCGCCCGAGCCGACTCTACACGACATTTGGCATTGGTTAAGTCATAAGAAATTGAAATATAATTGATTGGCAGTGCCCCCTGAAAGTTTTGTGTTGCTGGAAGGAGTAGCCGGAAACCGGAATCCAAAGCGAACTTCCTGTCCCTGTCCCTGTCCCCCTGTCCCTTCCCCTACCCGCCTGCCTATTGGCATTGACGCAGTCGCCTGGCCAAATTAGTTTGAGTTGTAATTTTAGACGCCATCAAGTTGGCTTTGTGCCCCGCTGACGCATGGAACGTTGATGAGGACAGCGCAGCGGCAAAAACAGAAGTTTTGCCTCGAAAACTTTAACCATTAAACTCAATTACGAGCCAAAGTTGCCTCCTGCCTAACGAAGGACTGTCATTGCTCTATCCTTGCAGGGATCTCAACGTTGTCGAGCTGCGGGGATCCGGAACGCTTGCCGGAACTGCCACCCTTGGACGAGCAGCGACTGCAGCGAGCCGCGTTGTATCTGCAGCAAAAGCTGATCCTGCGCGAATGGCTGAGGGACCATCGCATGCAGCATCACTACCAGAACCTGCTATGCGTTGAGGTGACCTCCCTGGAGGACGTCTACTGGCTGGAGGATTCGCGGGCCAGCAGCATTTTGGGCAAGGACTGGCATCTGTGGTCCTCGGCGCGACAGAATCTGCCCACGTCCAAGCCCCAGCTGGACGCACTCAAGGCGCAGCTCTGGTCGACGGTGGTCAAGTCGAGCCAGCATCAGGACGCCTGGACATGGGGTGGCATGCTGGTGGTGTCCGTCTCCGTTGCCGGCCTGGTTACCCTAGCAGCCATGACCCAACCCTCGCTGGCCCCCGAGGCCCGCCACTCGCTGCTGCAGTATGTCACGGGAAAGTATCTGCTGCCCGCCAACTGCAAGGTGCAGTGGGACTGGAAGGATCCGGCTCGTGTCGGCGGCACCATGTGCTTTGTGGTGCGCTTCTTTCAGCGCAACGGACAGCCCTATCCCATCTGTGATACGGACCAGTTCTTCGTGGAGGTCACCGAGGGCACCCGCAAGGTGGTCACCATCAGCGAGCTGGGCTCCTCCACCGATCCCAACAATGCCAATATCGCCAAGGTCAAGTTTACCGTCCGCACTGCCGGCCAGTACAAGATCTCAGTGCTCATCGGAGCCAGCCACATCGCCGGCTCCCCCTTCATGCGCAACTTTCTGCCGGGCAGCATCGATGCCCGACGGTCGCGCTTCATCCGCCCCGCCAGCACCGTCATTTGCTGCACCGGATCACCCACTCTGATGCACATCGAGCCAAGAGATGAGTTCGGCAATGCTTGTCTCTTCGATCCGTCGCAGTCGGATGAGGCATTACAGGTGGGTAACCAAAGACCAGTCCATCTCCCCACTCCCACTCTGATTTATCCTTCCTTTTAGGGCTATCAAGTGGCTGTTTATGACCTGCATGGCGTCTCCGTGGAGAAGCTGCACCATGCCATTGCCTTTAACTATGACAGAGTCAACTCCAGGGTCTCGGTCACAGCTCTCTTTCCCGAGCCCACATGCCTACGGGCTGTCATCAGCTACAAGGATCAACAGCTGCCAAATGGAGACTTTGACATCATTGTGCTGAGCAGTAAGTGGGCAATCCGTACACAAAGAACATCTCACATATTCCAACCCCCTTTAGGCAGCGACACCACGCTGGTGCACAAGAACATTGCCTCGCGTAAGCACAACATTTGCTATGAGGCCAAACTTCTGAGCATCTTTGGCTCCTCGAAGAGCAAGCCGCGCAAGGTGCTGTGCTACGTGGGACCCAAGCAGGTGAGTAATCAGGCCGCAGGGTTTCTGGTGGGGAACTAGTGAAATGTTAAGGCTCAGAACTCATTGATCTTTCAGGTGACCATCAAGGAGATGATACTGAAGTTTATACCCAAGCGGATTGCCACCTTTCGGCTGTGTCCCTCGACCAAGTTTCACTTTCTGCCGCAGTTGGTGTCCCAGCTGCATGGGCCCGTCTTCATCATTGACGATGGGGCACAGCCAAAGATTGAATTGGCCTCGAAGGATCGGAATATTATAGCGGCCACATTTACACACTTTTTGCTGAAGAACATTGGCGGCTCGGAGACGTTCAAGGATAAGCAGGACTTTTTCTATCACGAGGTGCGCAAGTTCCATGCCAGCTACTACCACGAGAAGATGGCCCTCAAGGTGCAGCGCGAGAAGATACTCGAGAGCAGCATGAAGGCCACCAAGGGCTTCTCCGTCTCCGATTGGTGCGGCAACTTTGAGGTGACATTCCAGGGCGAACAGGGCATCGATTGGGGTGGCCTGCGTCGCGAATGGTTCGAGCTCGTCTGCGGCTCCCTCTTCGATGCCCGCGGCGGCCTCTTCTGCACATTCCACGACAAGCATCAGGCGCTCGTGCACCCGAATCCCACACGTGCCGCACACCTGAAGCTCAAGCACTTTGAGTTTGCCGGCAAAATGGTGGGCAAGTGCCTCTTCGAGAGTGCCCTGGGTGGCAGCTATCGACAGTTGGTCCGCGCCCGCTTCAGTCGCTCATTTCTGGCACAGCTCATTGGACTGAGAGTGCACTATAAGGTGGGGGTAACAGTCAATCCTTATCATTCCATCTACTTACAGTCTCTCTTTCTTTTAGTACTTTGAGCAAGATGATCCGGATTTATATCTATCGAAAATCAAATACATCTTGGACACTGATCTCGATGCCACAGACACCTTGGAGCTGTACTTTGTGGAGGAGCTGTACGATGCCAGCAACGGACAGCTGAGCAAGACCATTGAACTCATTCCGAATGGCGCCAAAACACGGGTCACCAATGCCAGCAAGAACCAGTATTTGGACTCCCTGGCCCAGCAGCGGCTGTGTAACAGTGTCAAGGACGAAGTGGACAGCTTTCTGAAGGGCCTGAACTCCATAATTCCCGATAATCTTTTGAGCATTTTCGATGAGAATGAATTGGAGGTGACATTAAATCATTTCCCATATCTTTTAACTGAAAGTTTCCACTAACTTTATTATTTTACAATTATTTTCTCCCATTCCCTTGCAGCTCCTCATGTGCGGCACTGGGGAGTACTCCATCAGCGACTTCAAGTCCCATCACATTGCCAATGGCAATTCGGCCGAGTTCCGGCGAGTGCTGGCCTGGTTCTGGGCCGGAGTGAGCAACTTCAGTCAGACGGAGATGGCCCGCCTGCTGCAGTTCACCACGGGCTGTTCGCAGCTGCCGCCCGGAGGGTTCCAGGAGTTGAATCCACAATTTCAGATCACGGCTGCCCCAACATTTGGCAATCTGCCCACGGCGCATACTTGGTGGGTGCTTCTGCGCGAGAGTTGTAGTTTTTTTTCTGTGTGTAGTTTGATTAATTTGAAACTTTTTCCATTACATTTTGTGTGTGTGTGCAAGCAGCTTCAATCAGCTGTGCCTGCCGGACTACGAGAGCTACGAGCAGTTCGAGAAGTCACTGCTTTTGGCCATCAGCGAGGGCAGCGAGGGCTTTGGCATGGTCTAAAAAAGGAAACGAGCAAAATGGAAGTGTAATTTCACGATTTTTATTTAAAGTATTTGTTTGTTTCTGTTACATCTCTGCTGCGACTGTGTTCCTCTCTCTCTTTGAGCGCTTTATATGTACGTCATGGTAGATGCTAAGAGTAAAACTAGTCGATAAGTCTGCCTAGGAATAGATTGGATGGAACATTTTGATTTGCATTTCCCCGTTGAATTGTTGCTAGAACAACAAAACTCGCGATATTTTTTGTGTCCATAAGTTGAGCAATAATTAGTTACGTTACGGACTAGCCGACAGATGTATGTAGTAGCAAAGATTAAAACTGAATATATATCATCATCAAAAAGAATGTGATAATTGTATTATAAAGTAATGCAACCTAAGCGTAAAGGAAACCAACTTTTAAACCAACCCTCCCTCGGGTTAACCTAAAGATGTACCAACTAAAACCAACAAAAAACCAAAAATAATTTAGTTTTAATCGTTAGCTGGCGCTGTGTGTAAAACTCAAAAACTAAAAACCAAAACCTAAAACAGAAACACTAAAACTTTGTAGCATATTGTACGTAAAGAATATTTGTAAAATTTAAATACGAATCAACAATAACCATAGTCAAAGGCATTAACTGAAAGGCAATGTTAATATGCATTTCCTCTAACAAAAATATACAAAGAACATATACGATACGATACGATACAGAAGTTAATGAATAAAATAGAAAACCAAATATAAATGTTGCCAAATTCTGGCACAAAAAATCCGGCCCTCCCTTTCAAGTTCCCCTCCTCTGTGCCCACGCCCCTGCTATGTACCCTCCCTCTTCTATAAGCAATACGAAAGCAAAATGTTTAATTGTAGTTTTTAAATGTTGTTGCAAAGCAAAGCAAAAATCAAACAAATCATATACCAAACAAAATTATTTAGAAATTGTAATGGAATTGTAGTTGTTGAAGGAACTCTAAAAACAAAACAAAAACCAAATTGAAAACGAACACGAAAACGAAAACGAAAAGCTTATATATCACGGAGAATGGAGAGAAACGGTTCAAGGTTCAAGGTAAATAAAAATCTACAGTTTAGAACGGAAACTATTTGTTGGATATTTATTGCAAACTTAAAGCAGTGATACATTAGGGATTCCTAAACAGTTTTTCCCTTTACTCAAGGAAAGTAAGTATTGATGACAACAAAACTTATACATGAACATCCACTTGATACAAGTCCACTTCCGTATCCCAGACATTCGCGTACAATTCCATGCCCCAACTAAACGCTAAGCAAAACATTTGTTGTGCTTTAGTTAATTGTACCCATTGACATTTATTGCAGCAGAAAACCGGTAGCCTAAGTATAAAACAAACTTTCTTCGAGCGTACAAGTACGCCCAAGGTGCCAGAGGTCACTCGAGGAAAATTCGCTTTAGGCCCGAATGCTGTCAATGAACCCGTGATGGTGGGGTTACGCAAGCAATGACTGACTTAATCATAACCATTAGCCATATCCGTAACCAACTGAAAGGCATCGCATCTGTGAACTGTACTTTATTATATTTTGAGGTCTTCAAACCATGAGATATCTGGAGGCAGCGCCCAGTGAGAGTTGAGGGGAACGTGAGTGACAAATTACAAACGAACAAATCAACAATTTCTAGCAAGCGCGTGCTCCTGACATATACAAACAAATGTAGAGTATCTGTGTGTGTGCGTTTGCATTTAAACAATTATTAGCAACTAATTAGAGTTTGAATATAGACAGCATGAAAGGGCTGAGGCCTTTGGCGCCCGAGTGCGACCGAGGGAGAAAGTGGATCTTACCTAGAAGTGTTCATACAAAAAACTGTCACTTTCTAGATGTTGGGCACACGCAGACGTGCCACGCGCCACAGCCACAGAGATCTCTCTACAATGGAAAGGGTCAAGAAACCATCTTGGGACATGGCTTCAACAGAGTAAAATGTAAGATAAGAATAGTCAACCATCCCAGCTGAAGGTTAAGCGAAAGTCTTGTACAATTTGGTTTAGATGTGGCGCAGAAAAATCTGAAAAGGAAAGATACATTTTGAGGATTTCTCATTTATGTTTCCTCGACAACATTTTAGGAGATCTGTATTAGTATTATTATTATTATTAAATCATATTTCTCCTGGTGTAGCACCATTTTCACTTAACTCATTCATTAATTTCGCAAACTTTTAATGAACTTTCATTCATCCTAATCTCTCCACAATTTGCCAAATTCTACTGAGTGCACGAGCCATAAGTTTGGGCAAACCTGTTGACTACTTTAGGTACATATTGTTGGTACACTTGCACCGTGTTTTTATGCTCTAGATTTTGAGTGCCTGAGCATAAATGTCAACTGCTGCATGTTATATTAACTTGTAGCAAAAATCCCAAAATCACGAGCAAGTAAGAGACTTCATGGCGACATTAAAAAAGTGAAAATCTTTCCATAGCACAGGTGCGGAATAAGCTTAAAGTTGCTGCTTGTTTTTGGTGGAGATATTGTGAGAAAGAAAAACAACTATTTGTTCCCGGATTACTCATAAGTTGTTTCGTTTCCTTTATACTTAATTAAATTATTATGCTAGAGTGCAAGGTTTCCAAGCCTTCAAATGCCCTCTGAAAGTTCCTCGTAATATAACAATGAATGAGATTTCGTTGAAATAATAATTCTACCAGGAATTGTTTCCGTATTTAAAAACTTTACAACTCTATAGTTTCTCTTGAAACTAATTTTGTATCCGAAACTAAATTAGAATCCTTGTTTTCTCGAACTTCCATTGATTTGTAAATTACTTAGTGTAATAAGAGCCCCTGGCCTACCCCAATCCGCTCCTGTACGAGTACTGAAGTGACCGCCTGGCATATATCACGTTTTGAATACATTTAAGAAGGTCAGTTTTTTTTTTTCAACTGCCAAAAGAACTGGAAGGGCAAGGTCTTTTCTGGTCTAGAACAAGCTCAAGTCAAGAAACTTTCACGCGACCCCAACGACACACAGCGAAAAAGCAAAACAAATCTGAAGCATTATTTTTCGGGTTTTGAGAAGTTTAATGGTCTTTTGGCTTAGATTAGAATAAATTACTTAGACAACTAGGCAAATAATAACTTAGGTGGCAAATGTGGAAAAATTCTCATTGAACAGACACCGCCAGAGTGTCCCAGTTCCGAGTGTTGTGATTCTTAGTCCTGGCACTTGGAGGCCAGCGTGCACATGAGCGTCTTGGGGCAGAAGAGCAGACTCTTGGAGCAGTTCATCTTGTGGCCCTTCATCTGGCCCTGCGAGTTCTTGTAGCACACAAAGTAGCTGCTGATGGATGTCTGATCGGGTATCTTGTCGCCCTCCTTGCAGTAGTACTTTCGCTTCTTCACGGACCCAGAGGATCCAGATGAGGATCCTATGGAATTGCTGCTGGATTGTATGATGATGGGTCTGGCTGTGCTTGTGGCGGGACCCAGATCGGACAGGTTAACCATATAACCATTGTCCATGGAATCCTGTTCAATGTTGGACGAGATGCCAGATGAAACTCCACTCTGCTGAGTGTTTCCATATTGCTGCAGCAGACTGGCAATGTTCTGTGCCTTGAGTGCCGCCTCCTGTCGCCTCTTGGCTTCGCTCAGCATCTTGATGGCCTCCATCTGCAGTCGCCTATTGCTGTCTATGGTGTAGCCATTGAAGGCAGGCATCACACTGCCGCACTGTGCGTATGTTTGGGCATCGCAGATCCGCGTTTGCTTGTTGAAGCCCGTGTAGGGTGGACACGAGTAGGACAACACTTTGCCATCCTTCTTGCTGCACACAAAGTAGCGAGTGCAGTCCGTTTGATTGGGTTGCCGCACACCCGTCTGGCAGGTGATGACCTCCACATTGCCCAGCTCTGTCATGGCCCCAGGCGATTTGGTCATCAGTGGCAGTATGGACTTTTGAAAGACATCCAAACTGATGAAGTTCCCATTGAAGTTGACCAGCTGCCCGTGGGGTGAGGGATTGCCGGAGGATCCGCCACCATATTTGACCTTATCCGGCGTGTAGGGATTCATATTGCTGAACATATTGAGCTCCATGTTGCCCTCAGAGTCGCTGTACATGCTGCTGCTCATTGTCGGTCGTGGCATGTACGGATGATGATGATGATGCTGAGGCTGAGGCTGAGGCTGAGACTGTTGCTGATTGTAGCTCTGATCTAGATATGCCCCCGAAGGTGCTAATTGATGGCTCATGCCGCCTCCAGAGATGCCTCCATCGCTGCTGTAGGTCAGTACGTGCGGGGAGCTGTTCCCATTCCCATTTCCATTTCCATTCACATTCACATTCCCATAGCTGGCCTTAATCATCTCGTCAGCCCCGCCATCCATCTCCATGCTTTCGATTTTCTGCGAATTGGGTCGTATGCTCACCTGTCCCGGCTCCAAGTGTCCGCCTGGGAACATGGACATGTCCATGGGTCGCGGCATATTCAATGTGGGATACGATTCGGTTGGCTGGAAGATGCGATTCACATTCTGTTCGCTGAGATGCGGACTGGGCGTGTAGTAGGTGGACACTGTGGCGGCCGAGGGCTGCTCCTGGAAGGGTCGCGGCGTCGTCACAGTGTACTCCGAGCCAAAGGGCGTTGGATACTGACTGGATGTGGGTCGTGCTGTGGTCATGTAGTCCATGCCAGTAGGTTGATGCTTATCCAGGCTCGGGTACACACCCAAACTGTGCCCGTAGGTGTCCAACACTTCCTTCTCCCCCGAACTGGTGCTGGACACATGCACTGGAATCACATTGTTGTGTATGATGGTGGTGCTGGGCTTGTTGTAGCCACCGTTTCCACCGTTTCCACCGTTGGAACTGCCACCCGAGGAGTGCTTCTTGTGGTGCATATAGTGGCTGGGCATTGGCTGTGGCGCATAGTACTGCTGGAAGGGATTGCCATGTGCCGACAGGTAAACCGGCTGCAGTATGGGTTGAGCATAGTAGCCATTAAAGCCCGGATTTGGCAACACTTTGGGCACATTCTGTGCGGCAATCATTTGCTTGGACAACTCCAGCACCGTCTTGAGCGTATCCTCCGAAATCTTGGGCTCATGATCGCCATATTCGTGGCTCTGCGAGTGACTTTGGGAGTGACTCTGCTGTGAGGGATAAGAAGAGCCACCGCCCTGCTCCTGGCTCATGCCATACTGTGGCGACGGGAGAGCAAACATCACCGAACCCTCGGGTCGATTCACCACAATCTGCGAGTTGGCATATCCCTGACCCGTGCCACCCGAAAAGGGCAATGCATTGCTGAGCATTAGCTTTGTCTCCGGCTCCAGTCGATGCTTCGAGAGATGCTCCTGCAGGCGTGTCTTGTTGCTGTTCGCTTGTGGCAGCTTCGTGCTGCTGCTGTAGCGCGGTGGCTCCGGTGTCGTTGTGCTGGTGGAGGTGGCAGCCATCTGCTGTGTCGTGGCCTCCATGGGATTCAGCATCTCGTAGCGATTCTTGATGTCAAAGTGCGCCAGAAAGGCATTCAGCTGATCCGGTCGCATATCCGCTTGGAGTTTGTCCGTCTTCTTGTAGGTCTGCTGCAGTCCATCGATCAATTGGGAGAGTCGCTGCAGGTGCGCCGTCAGCTGTGGATCGATCTGGGAGCCCGGTTTGGCCAGCTCACTCACACCCGCCACTTGCTTTAGTTCCGCCTTGAGCTGCTCCACATCCGGGCGGTGCTCCATGTGCTCCATGTGCTCCACTTCCTCTCTGTGTTCGTTGTGTAATTCCAGTTCGTCTTCGCGATTTTCAATCGTTGGCGTGGGGCTGTCCAATTCCATGAGCTCGCCGTCGCCGCTGGAGTCAAAGTGCTGCAGGGAAGAGCTCTCTTCGTCGTGGCTTTGTGTGAAGCTCTGCTGGTCCCCCTCCTGCTCCTCACTGCTGAGCGTTGAGTCCAGGACTAACTCCACTGTGCCATCATCGTGGTGTTCGTGCTCAACGTGATGCGGAGAGGACTCCCTGAGCAGCAGACCCGCCTCATCCATGTCGTTAACAATCAAAATATCCGCATCCGGCTGACTGCTGGCAGGCGTGGAGCTGGCCAACTCGCTGGGTGTGATGCACTCCCAGTCCTCGCCAGGCAGGACGCAACCGCCCAGACTCGTCTCGTACACCAGACCCTCGTTGCACTTTACGGGCACCCACACGTAGGAGTTCGTGGCCAGCTCACGGCACTTGTAGTAGGCGTCGCAGCGTGTCTTGTGGGGGCGTGTCTTTTCAGGGCAGGGTTTGCCTAAGGTTTGCCAGAGAAACGAAAATAAATGGAAAGTGGGTAGAGAAAATGTATAATTAAATCACTTGAATTTATATTTATTTTTCACTGCACTTTTGTATCGAGTTTTACCTTCGGAAAAGTAAAATAAACCCGTTAGCAGCCACGCGTAGATCACCAGGCCTCTCATCTTGAGTTTTCCCTGCCACGTATCCTGCGATTAATCCACTTAATCCTTTGGCTTCGCTCACACGTAATCCCTCGCTACTTCCGTTGCGTTCAGAGCACTCGACACGAATGACTGACCATCCGCTGGGGGTTTGACATTAAATTTTGATCATTTTCACTTTGTCGCGGCCCCAAGTCGGTGGTCGGTGGAGAGTCTTCGCGTCGTTCTCGGGGAAAAAGTGTGAACAAGAGCAGCAGCAGAGCAGCAGAGCAGCAAAAGCAAACAGACGTTTAAGTTGGAGCATTTCCGTGGCTCTCTGGCGCCCGAATGGAACTTGCCTCTCTCGCACTTTGGGTAGTTGCTATTAATTGTTAAAGCAAATAACTGAATTATTTCCATTCGAAATTTTGGAGTAGATTCAAGAAATTTCACTTTTAGTGCGTTGTTTGTTTGCTGAAATGTAATAAAAAATGTATACTATTAAGTAATAACTGCGTCATACATTTAGTCTAACTCCCATGGCTACAAAAAGTGTTAGATTTAATTTATTTTATAAACCCAATTGAATTGGTAATGTTATGAATATAAATAGTGGGAAGAGTAGGAGAATATCATCATTTAAAATCAGAAAATCCAAGCATCAAGTACAATTTCATTCAAGTTTCAAGTTTTCCAACATTTATTGAGACTTTCAAAGTTAGCGCTTCTATTTTGATTTATGTGGGAACCAGTTTGAGCTAGTTCCATCTCCATCTGAAAAGTGTGCCCATTTTTCAATATCGGTTTCTCCCCGATAGTGCTATCGATATCGGACCATCAGTATTTTTCGACATTTTCGAATAAGTTGAGATTTTGATAGCAAACGATTAGGAATTCGATGTTGACCACGAATTAGTTTTTAGTGGCCTAAATTACATATTTACACGCCGTCTACATTGGTGAATTGGACAAGAGGGTGACGAATAATAAAAATACTGAATGACAAGAAAATACTTAAAACGTTATGGGAAAAATGAAAGGTGTGTGACATAAACAAGCCGTCATAAAATTATATGCATTTTTTAAGCATTCGATTAAAGGTTTCTACATTTTTTCCGTTGGCTTTTTAAATTGTTGAAAAAAGTTATCAAATAACGTAGAAATAAATAGATATTTTCAGTTTGATGCCTATGTTGTAAAAAAACCAATAAAAGAAATTCATTTAAACTAGCCAATCTTATGTAGTTGATTCATCCCAACCAGCTTATAATATTGAGTAAAATATCAAAATCGAGTAAAACTATATGGGAAGTGGTATATTTACGGTATATTTTGAAAATAAGAAGTACTTCGGTATATTTTTGATGGTCTGCCGTCACATTATGGAAACGAAATTTATATCGATAGCTAGCCAATTTCATCAGTTTTACCATCTCTAACGTAACACTATGGCAAAGAAATTGCTTTGCCTGCGAAAACAGCACAATAACAAATAATCTATTGGTTAATAGTTCTACAATAACATATATTCTGCTTGGCGGATATACGTGCAACAAATACGCAACGCAAGCAATTGTGAAGCAACCAAGAAACCAGGCCCAGAACCCACAAACAGCCAAACCAGCAATACACACGAACACACACACAGGCTCACACGAACGAGCGAGGAGCAGCGCCAGAAGAAGGTAAGACGAAGGCAAAGAAGGCGCAGGTAGAAGAAAAAAAAACGCCAGACCCCCAGTTGGTACACATGAAAGTGGAAATTGTTTGCGGGCATGCAAAACACCTTTGTGCATTGGAATTTCCATTTGGCCAACATTCTGAGAGGTGTTTGTTGGTGTTTCTGGCTATGGCCGCATCGGGCGGTACATACCCTGCCGCGACCTTTGCCTCAATTACAAACAAAAAGTGACACAAACACACACACCTACAGATGTGTGTGCATATGTAGTGAGCGAGGGAGCAGCTTTTTTTTGGCGTGCGTTACATGACCACGAATATTTGTAACTGTAATTGTAAGTGGCGGCGCATGTGTGTGTGGGTGTGCTAGTGCGTGTACCAATCGGTCGATACTCTATTTCTATAAAGAAGCGACGTCGGCCAGCGTCATGGAAGTTCAAGTTGACAGAGTCTGAGTGCAAGTGTGTATGTGTGTGTGTAGTTCAGGTGCACTAACGCTGATACCACCCCCACTCTCCACCCCACCCGCCGGCAGCTAAAAATGCATTTTGTCGCTTGATTTATTGACAACTTCAGCCCCTCATGCCTCTGGGAACTGCGGAACCCGGGCGTCCGGGCCAGCTGTTGCAACTGTTTTTGTGTCTGTCGCTGTCTCTCTCTGTGCGTCTCGCCTCGCTGATTACACATTTGTCGCTTTTCCTGCTGAGCTGCACTCACTCTGCCCATAATGGCCGCCGCCGCTCAGCCTGTGCCTTCCCTCACAGATAAGTCCTCTCCTATCAGGCGACTGACTCTTCGATTCTTTGTTTCAAGTATTTATTATCATCATTACTCAGTAATCGTTATTTCGGAGGGATATGGGGTATGCTGTTGAAGCATTCACCACTCAAAGATCTAGAACGTTTTGCATGAAAAATGGCCTCATGAATCACCATTTACGAGTGTAGTAGATGAATCTGCCAATCACAGAAACTATACAAATACTGCGTAGTCAGTACAGACTATAAATGCTAGACAATCAACAAATTTCATCGTGAATCCCAGATAAATCACGCAATAATTTAAAGCTTCTTATACCTCCCCCAAAATGCTGTAGCACAAACACTTTTGCGTGAATAGAGCTCATATTTGATAAAGTTATATAGAAAACGATTGTCCAACTATCTATCCAAAAACATTATAGTCCGATACGATAGATCATGTACGTGTCTTGCTTTTCTTTCGTTCCTCTAATTTCCTAGTAATTTATTTTTAGTTTTCCGCTTTTCAAATTAAAAACATTTTCTCATTAAAATCGCAAATAAATAAATAAAAACAATAACTTTTAATTAGCGGGTATGTGCATCCTGTACTCGAAATACTAGCGCTCGTTGTTATTGTTCTTATATGAACTCTATTTTGTACATATGTACTTCCGACGTTTGATAAGATTTATTTTTCTGCACATAAATATTTACCCAAGATAAAGCTGTCAAAGCATAGCGGGTAAAACCAATGCTAATTGCATTCTAAATGATGTTCCTCCCTGCTGCTTGTTTGCATTAAATATCAGCAAACAGACTTTGTACGAATCGTGTTCTATGTATGTGGCTACACTCCCATATGTACTACTATACATAGTAGATACTTGTAATCACAGCTGTCTCTAGCGCCTCTTCACACGGTTGACCGTTTTTCATAATTGAACAAACTGTTGTCGTCGTCGCTTGGCAAATATTCATACACTCTACCGCAAAAGTGTACATACGTGTACGTGTACGTCTATCTACACTTGTTCACGTGTTTTCAGAAAAGTTTGTGAGGCGATACCGTCAACCAAAATTGTGCATTCAATAAACAACAGAAGCAGCCAGCCAGCAGCAGCCAGCGCCAGCGCCAGCGCCACCAAGCAAAAGCAAATGAAACAACAATCAAATCAATATGCAATATGCAGTGTGTCCATTCAACAATCGAAACTGTATACGGGTTTACCGTTGTTGATGAGTCACACTCCACACTCCCCCAGTGTCCGTTACCCCCGCACCGCATTACCAGAGTATTATTATACAATCTATTGTAGAGTGTATACTCGTGTGTCCATTGTCTGCCATTGCCTGATGTGTGTGCACTGCTTGCGGCTTGTGTGTCTCAGTGTTTGCTATCAAGATTATGGATGACCAGTCGCTCATTGCTGGGGAAAATTCACATTGTATGCCATGCCATGACAGCCGCAAATTAAAGGCGAAAAATTAATAACACGCGGTCCGGGGTCTTCACAGAACTGCAAGCGCTTAAGGTTTCACTTTCTGTAGATCGATGAGGAGGCATTTCGATTTTATTGTTAGTTTATGGGCAGAACTTAGTGGCAATACGTCCCAGAATTGTAGGTCTGTTGAAGGTTTAGCTTCTCCATCGAGAAATCCATTGAAAATCGAAAACTCTTTCCTCTACCCCTGTGCTTTGCTTACTTACATTTATAACACGCACTGTAGCACTTTGTGTTGTGTGGCATGTACAGTGGTAATATTTACACGCTCATATCTGATGATTAGCTAACAAAAATTAAAGAAAACCCACAAACAAGGGGAAGTTTTCATCTACCCAAAAAAGTAGAGCAGTTCGAGGAGTCATTGCAAAAAGTTTAGTCTGACATGGGTCGTATAAATGTATAAGGTACATAAATATATGTACTATAGTTAAACAGCGTTTATCTTATCGGTATGTATTCGCTTTCATAATGATATACAGAGCTTTAATTATCTCGAAAGCTGCCAAAAAGATTAGAGTTTTTACGGGATCTATAGAGTAGATCAGCCGCAAAATAAGCCTCTGTGGAAACAGCGTAATTTTCTTTGCAACGGAAGTCAGTTCTGGTTCCTGGAAATTCGCTTTAAAGTTATATATTTAGAACCTTGAACTTCCATTGTGGCAGCAACAATTCACCTCACAATCTTATCAGCTCTTATCAATTGGGGCCTTTTTTTCTCGTGTACGAAATTCTATTCAACATTTCACATTTTCTGTGTGTTCTCTTTTTGCAGCGCCCATAAGGAGCGTCCAAGGAGGAGACGACAAAACACACACTCGCATAAAAAGCAACACAAATGGCCGATGGAAATGGGCTGCCAGCAGGTGCAGCTTCCGGTGCAGGGGGCATCATTGAGGGCGGACAAACATTGAACTGTGGCGTGGCCACAGCCAACGTGGGCAATCCAGGGGGTGTGGGTGTGGCAAGTGGCAGCAACAGCAGTGCCAGCAACAGCAGCTTGAGCAGCAGCAGTGGTGGTGGCAATGTCGGTGGAGGTGCCAGTGCCGTCAATCAAGGATATCATCAATTAAGCGTAACAAGTGAGTGGCAAAACAAAGAGAAAAACCAAGGAAACACCGAATCAAATGTTACATTTCTTTACAGTCGAGGAGGCATCACTGCGCAACAATGGCTTCCTCAAGCCAAATCCCTATGTGGAGCTGCTGATTGATAGCAAAAGCAAGCGCAAGACAGACCAAGTAAAGAATAGCTTTCTGCCCAAATGGAACGAAGAGTTTACAGTGCTGGTGAGTAATCAGAATGAAAGGCCTTTGATTGAAACTCTAACCATTTCCCCCTCTTTGCAGATTACGCCCAACTCCACGCTGCACTTTAAGGTGCTGGATCATTCGAGTTTCCGCAAGGATGCCATGCTAGGGGAGCGCATCATCCATCTGGCCCACATTCTGCAACACTACAACGGACGCTGTGAGTTCCTGGAGCTGACCATCGATCTGTTTGTCACCTCCAAGTCGGACAATCGTCAGACCAAGAGCGGCGTACTTGTGGCCATACTAAATGGACTGAAGCTGGACATGAGCAAGCTGCAGTTGCAACAGAATGGCAATGCCGTCCAGGCGGTGAATCCAGCCTTAAGCGATCCAGCCGCCGCTGGCCGTAGTTGCATGATCTACGGCGGAGTGATTGCCAGAATGCGGCTGCGTTCAAGCAATAGCAATAGCAATCCGGAGCCACTTGCCAATCGTTCGATGAGTTCGAATGGTGTAGATACCAGAGCGGCCATACTAGGGCCACCCGTGTGGGAGCAGCAGCAACAGGCGCCACCACAGCAACAGCAACCACAACAACAGATGCAGCAGCAGCAGCAACAGCAACCCCTGAGGATGGTCAATGGAAGCGGCGGAGGAGCAGCGGCTGTGCCGCAAACAGCACCGTATCCACAACAGCCACCAGCGACGGTTGTGGCACCGCCACGGCCCATGACGCAGGTGTATGCCAATGGCGTGATGCCAGAGAATCCACCACCACCAGCTGGTGTCTACATGCCAGCGGGGCCAGGAGTACCAATGGATACACAGCAGCAGCAGGCGGGAATTGGACTGCCCGTGAGCCAGAGCACAGATCCCCAACTGCAGCCTCAACCAGCGGATGATGAGCCGCTGCCCGCTGGCTGGGAGATACGCTTGGATCAGTACGGACGTCGCTACTATGTGGATCACAACACGCGTTCCACGTACTGGGAGAAGCCAACGCCGCTGCCGCCTGGCTGGGAGATACGCAAGGATGGACGGGGACGGGTCTACTATGTGGACCACAACACGCGGAAGACCACCTGGCAGCGGCCGAACAGTGAGCGACTGATGCACTTCCAGCACTGGCAGGGACAGCGCGCACACGTGGTGTCGCAGGGCAATCAGCGGTATCTGTACTCACAGCAGCAGCAGCCGACTGCGGTGACCGCTCAGGTGACGCAGGACGATGAGGATGCGTTGGGTGTGCTGCCCGATGGCTGGGAGAAGAAGGTGCAATCGGACAATCGTGTGTACTTTGTGAACCACAAGAACCGCACCACCCAGTGGGAGGATCCACGCACACAAGGTCAGGAGGTGAGCCTTATCAACGAAGGCCCACTGCCACCAGGCTGGGAGATACGCTACACGGCGGCTGGCGAGCGCTTCTTTGTGGATCACAATACGAGGCGGACCACCTTCGAGGATCCGCGTCCGGGTGCGCCCAAGGGCGCTAAGGGTGTGTATGGCGTTCCGCGTGCCTATGAGCGCAGCTTCCGCTGGAAGTTGTCGCAATTCCGATACCTGTGCCAGAGCAATGCCCTGCCGTCGCATATCAAGATAACGGTGACACGACAGACGCTCTTCGAGGACTCGTACCATCAGATTATGCGTCTGCCCGCCTACGAGCTGCGTCGCCGCCTGTACATCATCTTCCGTGGCGAGGAGGGACTCGATTATGGTGGCGTGTCCAGGGAGTGGTTCTTCCTGCTGTCGCACGAGGTGCTCAATCCCATGTATTGCCTGTTCGAGTATGCCAACAAGAACAACTACAGTCTGCAGATCAATCCCGCCTCCTACGTGAATCCCGATCATCTGCAGTACTTCAAGTTCATTGGACGCTTCATTGCCATGGCCCTATACCACGGGCGGTTCATCTACAGCGGCTTCACGATGCCCTTCTACAAGCGGATGCTCAACAAGAAGCTGACCATCAAGGACATCGAAACGATTGATCCAGAGTTCTACAATTCACTCATCTGGGTCAAGGACAACAACATTGATGAGTGTGGCCTCGAGCTGTGGTTCAGCGTGGACTTTGAAGTACTCGGCCAGATAATCCATCACGAGCTGAAGGAGAACGGCGAGAAGGAGCGCGTGAACGAGGAGAACAAAGAGGAGTACATAACGCTTATGACGGAATGGCGTATGACACGGTAAGTCAGCAGAAAGGGATTCATTTTGCCATATATTTCAATTGATTTATCTTTGCTTCTTTTAGTGGCATTGAGCAGCAGACTAAAACCTTTTTGGAGGGCTTCAATGAGGTTGTACCTTTGGAGTGGCTAAAGTACTTTGATGAGCGCGAACTGGAGCTGATCTTGTGCGGCATGCAGGATGTGGACGTCGAGGACTGGCAGCGCAATACCATCTACAGGCACTACAATCGCAATTCCAAGCAGGTTGTCTGGTTCTGGCAGGTGAGTTCCATGACCACAAGGTTAATCGTTCCCCTATTAATAAAATTCTTCGCTCTTTCCTGCCATATAGTTTGTACGTGAAACGGACAATGAGAAACGCGCCCGTCTGCTGCAGTTTGTGACGGGGACGTGTCGTGTGCCTGTGGGCGGCTTTGCCGAGCTGATGGGCTCCAATGGGCCGCAGCGATTCTGCATCGAGAAGGTGGGCAAGGAGACGTGGCTGCCGCGCTCGCATACGTGCTTCAATCGATTGGATTTGCCGCCGTACAAGAGCTATGACCAGCTGGTGGAGAAGTTGACCTTTGCCATTGAGGAGACTGAGGGCTTCTGTCAGGAATGAGTGGCAGTTGATTTGTGGTCGGTTTGTTGATTAATGTTTAATTCCAATTGAGCGCCTGTCCCATTCCCCCTTACACCCATGCACCCATATCCTTGTGAACGAACGTCCATAATGTTGCGTTGATATAGTTACTGTTATTATTATTACGTTTACGATTACGTATGTATATGTATTACACACACAAACACACACACCGCAACGTTTTTTGTATGTCGTGTCTATATAATTCCTATATTCGCCTACCACCTCAAAGATCTGTAATCTATAATCCTGCAATCGCAGCCCCGAGAGAGTGTTGAGTGTGTGTTTTGCCATAAGATTGCAACAACAATCCCCCTTCACCCGCTTCTCTTCCCACTTTTGCTTCTAGTTCAATTCTAGTACAACGAGCCCTGATCCCTTACTGCTGCCCTGTCCCTGCCCTGACCCATAATTATATTGTAAATAGTTTGACAAGAGAAAAGAGTATGCACACACAGGCAACAATTGTTAGAGGATGGGGACATTTTTTGGGTTTACTAGCCGTCAAGGCAAAACTGTTTTTAACATGTTCAATTGTTTAACACACCAATACTATAATATAAATATATATATATAGAAATATATTTTAAATATAAACAAATATATATCCCACACAAAATGCAGAAAGAGAAATATCGTGAGATGATGGAACACCGAAGAAGAAACACACCGCAAAAAAATATATGTTAAGGATTTTTAAACACACACGCAAAAACACACAAAGTACACTTACAAATCAATAATAATAAATTCAAATAGCAATAATTGTTGTTAACAAAAAGAATGCTAAGAACGTAGAGGATGTTGAGGAGGAAATGGATCAAATGGCAGGCGATGCGATGCGTGTATTACGTATATATAATAATGATATATATATATAGCATATATCCTCTTGAAAGGGGTTACTGATTATGATTATACTCGTCGTATATGTGTGAGCGTGAGCAATCTTTATAGTAGAAGGAATGAAATGTGTTGTAAAAGAGTACGGATTACATATTATAAATAAATATATATATATATATATATGTATATGATATATATTATATATTAAATAGATTTTATTTAGTTTAATGCAATGTGTACTGTATTATATAAAATAAATGCAAAAATTATTTAGTGATATACGAGACGGACGGAAGGTGTTTTGTTGATGGATTTGATTTTCCCCCAGGGGGCATTTCCACTGCCGCTGGTGCCATCGACATTTGTATGCTTAGTCAGGCCTCTCTGAAATTTGCTGATGCGGCAATAAATGTAATTATTTTAAGCGCATTTTTGGTTGCATTTTATGCATTCTAAATGTCTCTCAATTAAAATGTATTACATACAAAATATGCGCGAAAAACATTGAAATTTCCATGCCAGTGCTCTCTGCCAACAGTCCAGCCACCAAATTCGGTTACAGAATCCGGCCACAAATGGAGTTTAGAGGAGAGAGCTGTGATAACATCATCGTTATAGTTACAAGAGGCGTTGCCTAACCCACATTTTTCCCTCGAGTTTTGTGTGTTGCGGGTGTGGGTGGCAAATTTAACAAGCTTCTCCATTATTTATTGCGGTTAAATTGCAAAAACGCAGCAGTCAAAACAACAACAGCAGCAAATACACAAATAAAAAGTCAACCACGCCCCAAAAACACCACGGAACACCGTCTGCCCCACCTATTGTTGATGCTGCTGGTGCTGGTGCTGGTGCTGGTGCTGGTGCTTGTTGCTCGCCGCTGGGAATGGCAGGGCATGGCATGGCATAGGGTGTGCAGCTCCAGGCTCTCTCCTGCTGGGCTCTCTGCTCCTGGGCACCCCGTCGCTTGTATTGTTTTGTAATTATGCCCCCCAAAAAGCCATCCTGCTACGCTTTTTGGAGAGGAGAGTGTGTTTCTGTGTGCCCTTTGCACCTGGGAGCACCTGGTAGGTGCAACCTATTTTCACTTTCATTCATGATTTATGCATTTGTAGTGTGGCCTGGCCGCCAGGGCGTCTCGCGTTGCTTTGCCAACGGATACAATTTTTAAATTGCAAAGTTCATAAATGTTAAGCGAAGTGGCGGCACATAATTGGTAGAAAATGCAGTTAACCAGACCCCAAATTCCATGGATGTGGCCATTGTTTGATTGCTTGCATCGCACTGCCGCAAATATTGCGCATAATTGTGTTACTTCCATTGTCTGAATGCCTCTCATGTGTGTGCATCCATTTAAATCCCACATTTGAATTTAGCGTCGAATTTGTTATGTTTATTGTTATCAGAGCATCGATATTTTGCCATTCACAGTGGTGATCCGTAATGTGCCATTCGCACGGATGCGCTGTCGATCGTTTGTGCGCTACAGATTGAAAATATTTATAAAAAACAGCCAAAACCAGGATGGATATGCCTAAAAGAACTGCGGATTTGTTGGATATACCCAGAACACCAGATATGCGGTGAGTAACAGTTCGAGTACATGTAAATCAAACTAATATTTACGAGATTTCAGCAATTATGCACAGATTTCGGATCCACGGCGTACCAAGGAGCTGCTGGAAAGACAGCAACAGGCAAGGCAGCAGAAAACTCCAGAGATGAGGTTGGTAATAGTTTTGCGTACGTGAAGATCACTGTATGACAATATGTCGAAATTTCAGCAGCCCCATCTTTTTGGAACCGCTGCGCACCAAGGAATTGCTGGAGCGACAGCGCCAGGCCTCATCTGCATCTGCATCCAGGGCAGTCCGTACACCGTCAGCCCCTGCATTCGGAAACATGACAGACAGAGGAGACATACACAAAACACCAGAGATGCGGTATGTAAAATGTTTCAACAATGTGCAAAGACAAAGCAAAGTTTGATGCCGAAAAATGGTTTACACCCATAGCTGTCCCCGCATCGCAGTCGTACTCTGCTCAGAGCCGCCGCTGCCAGTGCGCACCAAGGAACTGCTGGAGCGGTGGCGTAGGGAGGATGAGAGGGATAGCAGTCGTAGGACAGCCTCCGCAACGAGAATAGGTCGCCAGAATCACAAATCCCCAATACCAGGCACCGCCGCAAACAGGCTGTTGGTGCCCTCCATTGGTTTCTCGTATCCCAAGCAGCAGCATCAGCAGCAGCTGTTCCCCCACACATCCGCATCCGCATCCGCATCGAGAGCGGAGAGAGAAACACCCCACATAACAAAGTTAGGCATAACAAAGCGACGGCTGGAGTTCCGGCACGTGCAGGGCAAGGAGTCGATGGGGTCGAAATTGGAAAGGCTCACAGCCTACCTACAGCAGGAGATGGAGGGTTGGGGCAGCAGCAGCAGCAGCAGCACAGAGCGACGGCTGCGCCAGATGACTATTGCGGACTTTGTGAGCATTGTGAGGCATTTGTTGCCCCACTCTGGGGTAGCGGCGGGGTCATTGAGCAAGGCCTGCTATGCGGAGCAGCTGATGGATGCCCTGCAGCAGCTCAAGTATCCCAAGAAGGTGAACAGGAGCTGGCTGTTGATGCCGGGAACACAGCATGTCATCGGCCATGTACTGGACCTGCTGGACTTTCTATTGGATTTTGCAGTCACCGCCACAACACGGGGGGAAGCGACTTGTGAGTTTCCCTTTGTGGCAGACTCGTCACTGGATGAGAAATCCTTTGTGCTGATGGCAAAGGACTACCACCGGTGGCAAGCAGCGGAAAACAGTCTTCAATTAGAGCAACAAAAATGTAATGAGCTACTAAAGGAATGCTGCAATTCCAATGATATCATTGCGCTGCAGCAGGAGTTGGAATCCCTACAACTGGAGCCCAATCAGCTGGAGTTGAGCACTGTTCAGGATCAGAAGCTGCAGCAGCAGCAGTTGGAACAAAGGGACAGCCTTCAGCAAGAGCTAACCAACTGCCAGGATAAGCTGAAATCCGTGTTGGCCGAGTCCTTGGCCTACGAGGGCAGGTTCAGTCATTTGTGCACCGAAACCTGGCGACAGAAGCAAATCCTGCAGTCACTGCAGGATCGTGTAAGAAGCCAAAGATGCAGCTACCAGGAGTATGCGAGATTGCTTGACCTACATGCCGAACGTTGCGATGAACTTCAGGTGTACCGTCGCCGGCAGCAGGATATTGCCGAGCGTCTAAGCATAGCCAAGCTGCGATGGAAGCGCTCTCGGAAGCACCTAATGGACAGCATCGAAGCCTACAACGTGCACATGCGGGACTTTGAGTACTCGTTGGCCTTTAAAGGCAGCTGCCCCAAATCTCTGCAGTTGCCTTTGTATCCCACGTTGGAGGAGACACAAGAGCGCCGGGAGAGGCTGCAGCAATTGCGTAACCTTATGGATAGCACTGTTGCCAAGGCAGGCTGCTTTAGAAAGCAGCCTCTCGGCGAGATACAAAGTTAGTTAAACAAACCAGCAGAAGCAGCAGCACAAACACGTACAAATTCACATCAACATCAACAACATTCAACTGAAGCTCGTACGAGTTTAATTTAAGCAAATATTTGCGTGTTTTGTAATTTTCATTTTGAGCCAAAATTCAAGCTGAGAGTAAGCTTAGTAATTCCTCCTTGAATTTCACAGATTTATTTAATTGAATTTGTCAACTGTACGCCACAATAGGCTCGTCCCTACTCATGCACCACCTCCCGCCGCCTCCTGGAGGGTGGTTGCTGTCGCTGCCTTGATCCCGTGGCCTGGATTTGAGTTCATGTAATTGACATTTGAATGAATCATTGGCAACAGTTGTACACTTTCCCAAGGAGACTAGCTCTTTGGATAAGCCCAAAGACTTGCCAAAAACAAAACTGAGCAGATTGTTAATCTATAAACAGTAAAGCCTTAAGTTCAACGATCTCTTACACATACAAAAAGGTAGATTAAACTAAAGTTAATAAGCTTAAATGATAATTAATTTCCTACCTTATTCAAGTCAAAAGTTAAGCTGAACAAATCCACATTTTGTAAAGTTTTCCACAAGCAAAATGCAATTTAATTTCAACGCCACATTCCTGATTTATTAAACGGCTAATGATGAAAGTGTATTTGAAGGGAAAGAAACCCTCATAAAAATGAACTTTTCACGCTTCATAATTATTGTCAGTCAGCGGTTGGAGGGGAAGAAGACTTGCTTGTGGATTGCCATTAATTTAGTGGTCGGGGCCAGGACTGCAAGTCCTGATGATGATGGAGGGAGGCAGTTGGATTTCGCTGTAGGGGTGAGATTTATAATGCCTCTGTGTTTGTGCCTTGGAGTGGAACTAATAATCATATTACTCAGCTGGAAGACAGCGTCGACTTTTGCAACTGTTGCAGCTCTCATATACATAGACATTTGCATGTCTGTATGTATATTGTGTGGCAATTAAACAGTGTGGCTGCTGCATAAATTGTTTCCATTGCCACAAAATGCTTAAAGCCTCTCGCAAATCCAAGGCAAGGCAAGGCAAGAAAGCAAGCAAGGAAGTGTAATAAAATACATGAATTAGTGTAATGGAAATGTGAAAGGCAACACAACAAACATTAGTAGAATGCAAAATTTTGAATGCAAATTCCCGTCTAAAAACAACAATGCCCCCGCACACCACACACCACACACCACACACCACAGTACACCGCACCGCACACAGCAGTCACCAGTCACCCCCCGAGGAGCCAGCGCCCAAGAAAACAGACAACATTTTGCGCAAATTAAACAATAACAACAACTGAAGCAAAAATATACATATATCTCTTGGTATCTTGGTACCTTGGTAGACACACAAAAATATGCATTTTCCATGCGAAAGGCGAAAGGCAAAGAAAATGTTTTGTGTCCGTGTGGCTGTGTTTATAGTGGAAATGCCAAGATTATAGTCAGTTCCGAGTCTCTGCAGACTCTGCGGAATAGTTATCTGTTCGGAACTAGAGTGTCATAACTCGCCCTCCCCCGCCCGACTACGCATTGGGCCATGTGGCGTGTGTTGCACAGGACAGGTGAAGGAAGTCAAGGTGTGCGTGTGTATGGGCGGTTACCCAAATACATTGAAAGGATATCTATTTATCTACTTAGATGTTAGACCATAAGGATATCCACTAATGCGATGTATTTTAGTATTTTTAGTAGCATTTTAGTTCGCTTTCCACGCACATACCTGAACACACCTCAACCCTTTGCCAGTTGCCGTGCTATTTGAATATTTGGCAACACATTACACCCTAAAGCTGTACATTTGTGCATGGTAGCTGACTGAATGAATGGCAACCACACCTTTAAAACTGGCTGCCAACTCGGGCTAAAACAATTATGCTCTATGGTGGTGTGGTGTGGTGTGGGTGGATGGAGAGCCCGAAGTGGTGGCGCCGTGCACCGCATGAGGGAGTACAGTACCCATTATTTTCACTCATAAAACAAACACTCACCTCACCTCGTCAGGCAGCCTGCTCTCATAAAGGCAGCCAGCTGGCTGGCAGCAGCTACCAAGGCACTGGACTGAAATAATCGCATATCGTAAAGTTTGACTTCCAGCTAATGAAGAATTTGCAAAGCTGGGAAGCTGGAATTGAGTTAATTAGGCACGAGTATGGCTTAAAGTTGAAAGCAACATGACATGACATGATATACATACATAGTAAGAATAGTGTCCTTACGCGTAAGGATCTATATTGCACATGTTCGCGTAGAGAAACTTTCGGAGTCACTCGATTGTTAAACAAACAAAAACAATACGCGAAACAACCCGAATTAAGGGGGAGCCCTTGAGAGTCGAAGTGTTGGGTACCTCTTATTAATGGAGCAAAAATAAGATACAATCGAGTAGTTTCTCTCCACTTATATAAAGCATGAATCAATGACAGGAATTTCGATTCGATTAGCAGAACAAATGCTCAAAATGACCTCCTCCTATGCCCTTCAAACCACCCATCGAAATGTGCTCTACTTTTTCTCTGCTAGAGGGTACAAATGAAAGAAAATCGCGCGGCAAAAAAATCACAGACGATACGCGCTTTGTTTTGCCAATTTCCTTCGTATAAAGAGGGAAAATCGCTGAAAAATCAAACGACACTTTTTCTCTGGCCTCCTTTGCTTCACTTCACTCTAATGGAGGAAAGTCATGCCTTTTGTTGTTCTTGTGGTTTTCCTTTCTTTTTTCTATTTAATTTCAAAGTTCAGCAGCGATTGCTCTTTTGGCTCATTCCTTCGGGGCAATCGTACAAACTCTGCTTTAAGTCAAATTCCGAGGGTAAGAGAGAGAGAGAGAGAGAGAACGAAGAACTTTAATTTGGAATCCCGCAACGGAAGCAAATGCAATTTGTATGCGTTGCAGGGCCCAACCTCGGTCTGACTCGACTCTACTCGCTGACTGAACTGTTTCCTATACACACCACTCCACTGCACTGCACTGCACTCCACTTCTAGTTTCATGGTTGTTGAAAGTACGCAAACGGAGGGGTGCGGAGTAAAAAAATGTCAACTGCAGCATGACCAAGGCATCGCAGGCATCGCCGAGTCATGGCATTGCAATATTTATGCAGTTTGTGCCACGTTCGCCATATTTGACAGGCGACCAGCTCTTCGCTGGGCAATAACTAGCTCGTTACATTTAACCAGACATCATCACTGTAATGAATGGCTGCCTGCTAATGGCTGCAAATCTCACCAACGATCTTCAAACCCGCTAAAAGTTAAATTCTTTTTGTATACAAAAATAATCACAAATAATATTTGAGCTGCTTAACATTATCTAGAATTAATTAGAGGCAGTTGAATCGATCGCAAAGCTGCTCAGAAGAGCATCTAGAACTTTCAGAATCACTTTAATGACAGCAGCGAAGGCTAAGCCACACACACCGCTCCTTTCGCTCCAGTTTCTGTCTCTACTTCTTGTATAAAATCTAGGCTAATGTGGCTTCCTTCTACATGAACTCTCACCCCTCTGCTGCTAAAGGGCATTCCACCTTCGGTCTGCTGAGTGGATACTCGTAATCGTTATTGCTCAATTTTTTTCTGCACATTTCAGCGCTTTTCCGGACTCCAGGAAGTTGATGTTGCTGTTGGTCTTGTTGCTGCTGCTGCTGCTGTTGCTGTTGCTGTTTTTGTTGTTGGCTTAGCCTGGAATGCAACATCAACAGCAATGGCAGGCAGCAGTAACATCAACAGCAGCTGGACAGAAGGACAGAGTGGGACTGTGGGGCCGGGCATGGGGATTGCAGCAGGTGGCGGTGGCGGCGCTGCTCAAACGGCAATTGCATTATCAGTAAATTATATCTGCGGCTGCATGGCACGCTCTTTGCTTCACTCTCCCTCTCTCTCTCTCTCTCTCTCTCTCTGTCTCTCTCTTTGCATGCCCCTCAGACATGTGGGCCATGTTTACGGGTTGCCTGCGGCCATGTTTGTTCGCTCCTTGCTCCTGGCCTCCTCCTGTTCTGCTGCTCGTCTTGCTGCATGTTGTTATTGGTACCCTGCGAACTGGGCCCAGATCCGGATCCGGTTGCTGCCGCTGCCACTGCTCCTGCTCCTGCTGCTGCTGCTGCTGTTGCTTGTTTGTGCGGCATTTTCGGCGCTTTCCTGCTGATTTATGCAAAACTGTGGCATTTTTCAATTGCATTTTACACTCGTCCTGCAAGGTTCCTCCGGGTTCCGGATTCCGTGTTCCGTGTTCCGGCTTCCTCCGGTTTCCCTTCTTTCCTTTCGCTCCTTGTTTGTGCAACAGTGTGGAGTGTGTGTGTGTGCGGGGTGTGTGTTTGCTTGTGCATTTGAGCATTGTACAATTTTCACACATTTGCGCAACTTTGCCACCAAAATGTGCAACACATTGCCCCCGATCATCATCATCATCATCATCATCATTGTTGTTACTGTTCTGCCTGCTCCTCCGCCGCCTTCTGCTGAGGGATAGCATCTTCACACGCCCACACTCAGCCCCTCCTTTCGTGGCAGTCAACTGCATTTTATTGCTGTAAATGTGTGTATCTATGGGAGGGCATCTGGTGTGCGTGTGTGCTGCTATCCACGTTCCGTTTTTCGCATTTAATGCCAAGTTATAACTTTCACGTGGGTTGCTTTAGTAGTTTTTTACACACATCCTCCCCGCCCCGCCCCACAATCCACTTTCTTCCCGTTTGAGTTACGTGACGCCATAAAAAACTTTCACCCACCAAGGAACAGAGCGGGCAGGCGAAAGTGTCTCTTATGCATAGAAGATTTGCCATGTGTGATGCATTTCTCCAATCTCCATTCCTTAATAAACATAATTTCAGCGCTGCTTATCCGTGAGACATGCATATAAAGCATAAACCTTACATCCCCCCACCATCGTGGCGTATGGGTTATGTGGTGTTCAAATTTTTGATTAATATCCGCAAGAAAATTACGCACAGGCTCGAATCAGCATTAAATTGAAATTGCATTACTGATTCGCTGGGGTTCACGGCATTTCTGCGGTTTTATTCCAATTTTGAATTGTGTGTTTTCTTATTCCTGATATTTTAATGGACCTTTTTTAAGTCAAATATTTAATTACAGCAGAGTATCAGCAAGTGAGGGCTGCGACTTGTATTGTAAATAGTTTTGATAACTGAAATTCGCTGATCCATTTGTCAACATTATTTGTATTCCTCTAATAAATTTGTTTATTTTATGACTCTCTCGACTTTGTGGCCCTTTTGTTATGTTTTGTACAAACCACCCACGCTGGCAGAAATGAGCTCTGATTGGGCAGCATCAATTTTCCGGCTAATTGCAAAAAGAGGCAAAATGATGTGCCCAACAAACACACTCCAGATCCATATCCTTTTGGCCCTGCCGCTGTGACCAACCCTCTCAGTCTTCTACCTCAGTGTCCCCACGTCTAACCAGCGCTTTTGCTCTGTTTTGTTGTATCTTTATCTCTTTTTGGGCAATTGGCAGCTGGAATTATGCACTTTGACAGGGAATGCATTTAGTGTTAATCATACGCACTGTTGCATGCCAGTTGCATCCTGTTGTTGCATAATCAATGCA